TTACCTCAGCGGTCCAGCTCTACATCCACCATATGCGACAAACGCTACTAATTACTGCGACAACGGCTAGGTAGAGGATACTACTCATTAATTGGGCTGTAATGTACTGTAGGGCTCTAATGGCTATTGCACTACTTGAAAATATACTATGTAGGCGGCACAAACATTGCTAGCAATGTTTGTGCCGCCTACATACTACCAACTGACTACTGATGGGTTTGTAGTCTAGCTAATCAATATGTTTTGATTATCATTATTTTTGGAGATGAAAGTGACTATAGTCTGATACAGACCAATGCTGCCAGTAAATTATTTTCGACGATTTCGTCTGTTATTGATATTATACAGTCGTGAAATCCATTAATGACACTTACGTTCATCGGATTTATCTGAATACTCGGATATCCTATATCGATTCGATCAGAGACTAGATTCTTAAGCATTAAGTACCATGCTATAGTGAGCTTATATAAAAACGAAATAAGGATTTCTCTCACCTGAAGTCTATATCTGTTTTTATATCTCTCGCATAGGTGCGCTTATTATAAATTTACATCTTGCACTATTTAGATGTCTAGGTATCAGAAGACATATTGGCCCGGATTAGCCAATCAAACGATCTTAGCTCAACGTCTGTATTTTTTCGGACTTGAATTGTTAGCGAACATCACACAGCTGTAACACAGCTGAGAGTTGCATTCTGGCAAGTCGTATCACCGATTTGTAGCGGACGATATATGTAATTCGTTGAACAGAAAGGGTAAGATTTGTTTGACTGTTCTATAAATTATTGAAAATGACCGCGGTTTAAGGCGGGGCTTTCCCGGCTCCCGTTCCGTAAGCGCACTACCGGCAAATTCGAATTGAATTAAATTTTTATGCTTGCAGCGAAACGGTCTACTTATGCAGTATGTCTGTGTCAGCTGAGCAATTAGTAATACCCGAACCCACTGTTATACCCAACAGTGTAACCACTTTTTCGTTTTCTACTGAATGAAAACTAGAAAATGGTTCACAGTCAAAAGCGAGGCCAATTATTATAGTGAAATAATAACGGATGTGAGCTCAGCCTTCACGATCGGTTTCATGACAAAAAAAAAATACAATCGAATATTTATAATTATTATTTGGTAAAAAATGCTCGATAAGTCACCTACTAGCCCAACGACCCAAATGATTGCGTTGATTAATGATAATAAAATCGAAAGCAACAATGTGTTTTTGCTATGTTCGTGAGTCTTTTAAAAGAACCATTTTAAATGATTCGAATAATACTAATAATAATACTACGAATAATAATAATGAATACATATGTAAGTGCATAATTATTATAAATGTACGATGCTGTAAATAAAAAGCGGAAACTATTAGCAATTCTGTTAACAAACCCGGATGATAGAATCGTTGGACTATAATTTCGGGTATTACGTTTTCGGCCGCAGCTCAAAACTGAATGCCGTTGTTAATAATATCAACAAAAAAACATGACTGTTAACAAGAGTGATCTCATACAGTATATCAAGCGATCATGTGGATCTGAAAGGGCGACATGGAGCATTATAAATATGTTGAATCAGATCAATTATCGTGACGTTTGGCAGGAAATGATCTTATTCGTGCTTTTTCAGCGTCACCCAGTAACAATAAACAACACATTTTTCCAATAAAAAACAAGGCAGAATCGGTATCACGTTCTGCATTAAAGCGTAGTTATAATAATCCACCATAGCTCGCATTTTCTATTCACGAGCGGCGTAGCAACATTTACAGACGGACACGTAAGGCTTAAGAAAATATCTATAACGCTAACTGCATACAAACTTACATAACGCAATTCATATATATAATAGTGAATGAAGAATAATCAGTGAAATATGGGGGAATTTTATCTATTTAATTTTATTTAGAATTTAGCTAATCGGGGACTGATAAATGACTGGGAAGGTTGCAGCCACGACTAATACGTACTTCTAGTTCTCGTTCGGACTGTTTTTGTTTTTTTTTCTGCAGTATGTAGATGTTAAAAAGATCTTTATATTACACTGACGAGCCTAAAGTAACTATCCTATACGAAAACTAGCTCGTGAGCTTGATTCTGTTTGTTAGGCTACAAAAACAGACGAGTTTATATAATCAGTCACGACCTATATGCTCACAATACTCGACCCGTTTATTCTACTAGTTAAGATGACAAAACCTTTATTATTGAATAAATTACGTTTAATCTTGTGTATTCTGTATTATACGTTGCAAGCGCTTAATAAAGTTTATTTAGCTAAGATATTTTAGCCCTACCGAAGCCACACGGTCGAATCTAAATAGACTGTCTTGCTTAGCTTGCCGTACGAATAGCGGGGCGCATTCTACCGCACAGCGTTGTACTGATTACAACTGCACACTGTTGACGGCATGACGGAATGACGGCAAGCACATACAATGCTTTGCATATCTCGAAAATCTGATCGATTCGCGGTCGAATGTTCGATCGAGTCGAATGAGTAACTCGAACAAAGCCCAACAGATCCGGCAACCCCTCCTGAAATCTACCGAACAGCATCGAGTAAGTGTGGCTTCTACTACTCGTCTAGTGTGGCCCATGTGTCGATCTTTGTACCCGGTTGAATGCAACCTTTTCTTGGTTCCTGGTGGCAGTTATTACCGACAAAGATGACGACAACGTCTAGATTATGGGTAGTTGTAGCTGATAACGCGTCTCTTCAGTCAACCGTCTTGTGTTCGTTCTGGGCTTGGCGACAGCAACGGCGTAAATATGTGATAGCAGGCAGGTTGCAAAATAAGATTTCTTTTCAGCCCGCTCATGTTCTGCGTACTCGATCCGCTTCTAGATCTACGAGGCTGATGATGACGGTAGCCGGGAACAGTAGCCTCGACTAAGTCGAATGTTCAGTTTGTCCGACTAATTAGCGTGCCACAGAGCCTAGTGTTACTAGTGAGGCCATGCCAGCCTAATACGCTACTCCTATAGCACGACGTGTCGGCTAGTCGCAAGTCGGTGACATGCTCCACACTCAGTCGTGGAAGCCTGTCGCGGTTACGTTGGGCCGCTGGCTTTGCTGGTCAATGCCCGGCAGACGACTTCTTAGATAAGCGTACAATAGAAAGGAGTGAAGCCCAGCAGGCCCATGTTCGATGGAGCCGCCAGAAACGTGAACAATTTCAAAGTACAACTTGTTCCGTTAACAATATGCATGTTGCATCATTGTTGCTGCTGTTGTAAAAACTTTCAAAGCTGCAAACGGCGGTAGACAGATAGAAAAGCTTGATGCAGCTAACAAGCGGCGCCCAATCCGGTGAGTGATTAATAGTTCTTACTAATTGGCTAAGGTATACGTAGAACAAATTGTTTCGATACGCTACTAAGGGATACTAAGTACCACAGTTTTACCCCAACTTGACCGCTTTTTCAAATCATGCGCGTATCTGCTGACTGAAATGTGACAACAAATAACAAGCACGACAGATGACAAACAGCGACTATCAATTCCTAGTAGAATTTAACGGGGTTTCCTGGTGCCTTGTCTATTGTAATAGCACGACTCACAGTGGGAACATCGAGCTTTTATGTTTGATATTCCAGAGGCACATCCTTGATCTCCCTTGCTCAATATTTTGCAACTTATTCTAAAAAGAACAGACACAATATAGACAATGAATTTTCCCGACTCTAACTCGTTATTCATGCAATATTGGACTGCGTTTGAACTTTGCGAGACCAACATATTTTACCGAGATTAAACGTACTTGATGCTTGATTTCTAAATACGTTACATTTCTCTAGATTGCAATGCCGATTAGAACATCAGCGTTTACACGAAGCAGTTTACCTCACTTTATAACATTTATATAGAACCAGGATAAATTGTAAATTGACTGCAGAAATTATCGCCACTATAATCCACATTATATAATAATATATCCTTTGAAATGTTTTAGGCTTCCATTTCATGTACGTGCTGTACAATATCATTTTACAGTATTATTTCCCAAACAAAATTCTCCATAGAGCCTTCAAAAATACGAATGCTTCGTTTCCAGGTAATTCATTTTTCAAATTTCTATATTCATCCAGACGAACCAAAGCAACTATATTAGCAGCAATGCTGTTTATCATTCATTGTATCCAGCATGCAGCACAGAGTTTTTTTTTTATTTTGATTTGTTTTTGTTCGTCTAAATATAATATATTTGGTAACCGAAAATCAATTCATATATATGACCTGACTGATTAATCACGTTCCGCATAAACAATATTTAACTTTATTTATGGTTAAACGATCAGTCTACTTAGAGCGGCCATGGGATACCGGGGTTGGCAAATCATTATAAGTTTAAGCTACATAGTAAAAAAATTAAATAATTTCAATTCAAGAGTTCCTTTATACTTCAAATTTACCTCTTACTTTTTTAACGATTTTTTTCATATGCAATATAATTTGCCGGCGAAATTAGCACTGCAGAAAAGCGTTTGCAGCGCTCCAAGAGGACACCGATCGAATTTCGATCGCTTTGGTTCGCTTTCCAAGCCACAAAAAAGGAATCGCCTGTTCCCCATAACAACAAGCATATCGCCATCAGACAGCAGAAGTTCCCCACCCAGAGTTCAGGACAATTGCACACCCCAGAGGCATACGGAATATCCGAACTAACCAGCATTTGTCAGAAGGGCTTATCCGATACGTTTAACTGAAGGAAAAATATCTGAATTCTATGTGAATAGAGAACCAATATATATCATGTTTACACGTGAATATCGTAGTGGATTGCCGTGGACGCTCAGATACGAGGTCTACAGCACATCCGCCTCAAGCCACAGTTTGATATTTCCAGCCTATAAGAGAATAGTATGGCGCTGAGATTAGTCAGGTCGGTTTAGCTAGTGCAACAGTAAAAAGGATTATTAAAAAACAAATAACAATACCCTATAATTGTATCCGTTCGGAAGCACGTTAGCTCTTCGCCATGTTAAAATAGATACTCACTTTTGGCGGCATTGAGCAGTTCCTTGATCTCTTTGATGATGCCCTTGATCGATTGTGAAGTGATCTCTAATTCTTTTTCATGACTAGCGAGATTGTCACGAAATTGTGGCGAATCCGTGAGGCAGTCACGAAATTCGAGTGGTAAAAGACCCATTGTAGTTGATCACCGGTCGCGGAACCAGCTTTGCGGCTTGCTGACGATAAATCGTGATTGTTAAACCCGATATCGAAAATCGCTGGTCACTCTAATTTTTCCACTTTGAACTTGACAGCGAATCAGTGGACTTGAAAACTGGCCAGTTTGTACAGAGCCACACGCTATATCGTTGACAAACCTAGTAACGAAGTGGAACTGAGGTCTTTGCTACATTACGGTGCAGCATTCTACTGTTATAGCTACTCCATTACAGCACAATGGCAATGCAGATTATGAAAGACACTGACACAATTCTTAGCTACAAGCTCACCCCTCCTGCAAACACAGAATGAAAAGCCAATTTTGCACAGCGGCATCACCAGATACTTCGTCGCTATATACACTGCCTATCTGCACACCACAACACTATGAGCTTAGATTAAATTTAGCAAACTGTTGATCAGCCAACCGTTGTGGGCCTGTTACTCCTGCCTCCGCTATCGTTGACTTTTTCGGCATTAATTAACTGCGGAAACTGAGAGAAACCCACAGGAGTCTACGAAAGCCGTGCAAAACTACCGCTGCTGCTGCTGCTGCTGTACTCCAACAGGAGCAGACAAACTGTACAGTGATTCTGTCCCCGGTGTCCCATCTGACACCTCGCAGGCCGGCCTCTTAGCTTTCACTTTGTAGATGCAACACAAGAACCAAACATACACATTTCAGCATAAATAGCAACCATCGTCACCATCACCATCATTGTCGTCATCATTGGTGTCGTGGTATAGACAATACCGACGATATAATCGTATCGGCGGATTAGCAACACGTAACTGCAGTATTTCGGTATTTCCGATCAGACGAGTTTACCTGACGAACGCTGTCGATAAACGATAGCAATGCACTAGTCGTTATTCGAAACTGGTCAAGTAATAGTAAAGCTTGTAAAAAAAAAAACGGTAACTACTATCCATCAGCGGGTGTCTACATGTGCCGTGTTTTCGATATTCGAGCAGATTTCGTTAGGGAAAAACAAAATTCCTCTCGTTGCATGAACACAATGAGGAGCATTACTGGCCACAAGCACCACCATGCGTTAGCCGGATATAATCACATTAGCAGTAGCCACAAAAGAAAAATATCGCTTACTGTGGAAGCACCCCTACCACTGAACAACAGACAACACAGTAAACGGAATACAGGGGACTATCACATTCCGCTAACTGCGTTCACTGTCACCCGACAGTTCAGCACACTCCCAAGATTCTATTGACCAGATCAATTCTGTTATTCACCAGCAGTCGATTATTCTCGGCCATCGGATAAGTACATCGAAAATGTTCTGAGCGCTGGAAACTTCTCTATGGACCACTGTCGTTGTTTTCGTGTTGGCGGTCTAATCGACTGATTGACTGAGTGAAGGCTGACAGCGCTGCATTCGAGGCTGATCCGCGACTATTGCTGCCGCCATCGTCGTTGATGCTTCTTGCTGCTCGATGGTCGACGATCCCTCCACAACGATCGACCAGAACGCCACCATCAACACGACAAGTCGGCGGCCATCAGCACCATACACACTGCTAATGGCCGCTCTTCGTCCTCCGGGATGAGTGTTAGAATAGATTAGATAGGACGAACGCCGGCAGAAGCGCACACATCGACACCACGGATACACGAGCATATGCAGGCAGACGGACAGCCTGCCGGTATCTGTCGTCTACCACGGCAAAGTTTTCCCTCTCACTTCGACGGTTCGTGATATCGTCGCTGTTGCTGCTGCTACCACCGCCGCCGCCATCGTCGGCAGGGTGTGTGTAGCATTAGAGCAAATTCTGATGTGCTTGAGTCCAGTACTGTTATACTCGGTTAGTGTTATTCCACATACGTAATATCACTATTACGATTGTCGCTAATTTGATGATATCATACGAATAGTATTGCTACCTTTCAACTAATTGCCATGCTGCCATTGTCCAGCGCTGTCGATCGGATGCGGCATGAGTGGTGACTGTTCGGCTAATTCTGTCGTTGATGCGCACTATTTTTCATGGACATTAAATCGCTTGCCCTGAGGCTTTTTCGTTTCCTTCTCGCTCCGATTTTATATATTTTTATTTCTTTTTTTTACAAACTTGTGTGTGTTTATACCAAAAAAGCTGTGGTGTGTGTGTGGGACGGGGGAAGGGGGTGTCTCACGAGCAGCTCCAGCACAGTTGCTGTTGGCAATTAACGCTACTATTATTGCCACAGTTGCGATTGCAGCTGCGAGACAGTAAACTATTTCTTTCCTTCTCGCCACATTCTCTCGATAGTCACGGGATTATTGCTTTCGTTGCTGTTGAGGTCTATGACGGCCTACTGCCAGAATCAACACAATCTATTCACTCCCATCAAAAAGCCACCGCAAATATTAGCTATAATCCTGTTGATATTGAACATCTCGTTCTCCAACCTGTTTAGCTTTACAAGCGCAGGATGTAGGCTTGGTTGCTGCACAAGAGAGTTTACCAGCAGCAGCGGCAACTATTGCGTGGCGCTCTTCAATTTTCCCCAGGCAAAAGTCACCCAATAGGCGCTGTTACTCATCATAGTTAGTGATGGAATCAGTCAACCATTTAGGCAATGTCTCAGCTCAGTGGAGGAAGTCGACAACCTTTATAAAAAAAAAGGGAATGTAGGGAAAGGATGATGCGGTGTATCGGGTAGTAAAGTCCAGGAATAAAAGAAGCACCATTACAGTAAAACATCTAAGCTGACGCACAAGAAACCCAATATAACAAATACCAGTAAACAAACAGAGGACGACTGCGCCCTCTAGGAGCAAGGTTTGGAACTTATATCACTCAAAAGTGATCGCATTAACACTAGCGTAAATTTCAAATCGAGGGGAATATTCATGTCTGCATGAACACGATCATTTTAGAATCGCGAATGAGGAGGTAAAATGTAAAAAAGTTTTCTAACACATACCAGTACTTTGTGTAACTCTGAGTTCAAGTGCTACTTAAACTCAAAGAATTATGTGATTGAGTAATGAATGCGTAATCAATAATAAACAAGAAAATCTGTCATTCACTTCGCTATCCTCAAAGAGTTGTTAGTACTGTTGTTTGAGGCGGAGGTCGTCAAGCGTGAAGATGTGAGCTGTGGTCAAACGTCAGTTCCACGCTGTTCTGTTTTCGTGCAGCATAGCCAATACATAATGAGAAACGGTAATGTAGTAGTAAGGGAACGAATTAAAAAAAACAAACCAATAATAATCAATATTTCATATCTGTCAGCTTATATCAATAAAGGTCTATTCCGAACATGGAAGCGAATGACGCTGCAAATCCAAGGCGCATTAAAGATCGAAGCCCAGAATGTATAAAAAACTTCGACATGTCGTTAATCAATTTTTTCTTCGTACGCTGAGCTACGGAAGACGCGGAATCGTAAGCGGCGCTTAGGGTATGGTTGTCATCATAGTGAGGGTAGAGCATTTATTGCTTACAAGTAAATAAATTTGACGACGTTTCTCACAAGAATAATGAGTTTTATTGTACGTGTTGGAAATAAAAAAAACGAATTCTATCTTTAACTGCTTTAATTCATTAGTCGACTGGAACTTTCAGATGAATACCATTTTTCTCGAATGAGTTAAAAACTGTATCTTCTTTAGCCCATTTTCTTATTTATTTGAACCATAACGATTAAAGCTGGCTAATATTTTGTAGTTCTGATTCCAAGTAACTACAATAATCTTCGAATTTATTGATCTGAAATGTGAACTGTAAGGCACGTCAATAATTTCATTTACAATAAAATGACAGCTAGCTTTCTCAATATCAAGTTGAAAAAACTTACGCAGTGCTGTCAAAGCTAATGCCGGAAATCGGGTTCACTTCGGGGGCTATACTGTGCACACTCTGTTGGGAATTTCAAGAGCAGACTTTTCACTTGATCGCATTACGTAATTAGCTGAATTTTTCTGCCTCGAATATGCGGATCATTTTTTTTCTAGTCTTCCATGAGCTACACTGGTCTATTGGAGCACGTTGGAACTTGTTCTTTTGCTTGAAATACTCTGCTACCGGACCTCGGTTAGGACGAGACGACTTGCAAGCCGTTGCGTTTTGGAGCTTGACTTTTTCCTGAAGATAATTATTTTTTTATTATAAGTAGTAAACATTTTCCAACGGCTAAATTGTTTTTGGTGCTTACTGATGGTATGGTAGCGACTGGAACACCTTTCCTGAAGTTAGCTAGTGTTTTGGGGAAAATTCTTGCTTCTTGGAGTCCGTCTCTCTTAACAATTCTTAAATGTTAGGTTAAAATATGTGAAAATGCTATTTTGTTTATAAGTTTCTAAAACCGTTTAAGTCGTGAACTGCTGAACCCTTCTCAAAATTAAGCATTGTTCTTCTATAGGGATTTTATGTTTTTAACCTCGATTGTTGGGTTCAATTGAGGGCAGACGTTTCCTAAATGTTATTTATAGGCTATTATTAATAGTTTTGCTTTTTGGCGCCTCTTCACCTAATTTAGGCCGACTCTCCAACAGTGGAGTTTTTTTATAACCATCGTTTTGGCTAATGGGAACAAATGTTTAGTTTAGCTCTTCAATCGACCTTGAACAGGCCGCTTCCACGAAATCTTGTAAAGCATACAAGCTTCGGCTATCACTATGCAAATAGTCAGTGCAGCGTTAGTCAACGTGGCATTCATCTGGCGAAAATCAAGGTACGTATGGTCAGCCCCACCAACTTCTCTCCACACCAACTTCTGTTCGAAGAACACATTACCGTACTCGGCTGTTCGCGTATCCTAAGCTACCCACCGGATAATGTGAAACGTGTTGGAAGGCCCTTTCGTCAAGTTCCAGACTCGGACCGCTCACGTCGCCCGGCCTTTTCGGGCTGAAATTACGGACTGAAACACTTTAGCTTTCGTCTGCCAATCCGGACGAATCCGGATTATAATCGGAATATTTGTTGCAATATGCATCTAAATAAAGACTAGGATGTAAACTTTAAATTGTGAACCACTGTAAATTCTGCTTCATCATCACGCGTAATGATTATGCGAACTTCACGTTTGCGTTTGAGCAACTCGGGAACTTCTAGTGATTCCAAAGGTTTTGCCTTCGAAAATTTCACTGAACTGAGTCCAACAAATGAGATAGGTTTCAACTATGCTGCTTAGACGCTTCATCCCTGCGTCCCGAGATGAATTTGTGGTTGAAAACTCACGATATTTTGTTCTCCGCTATAGGAGCAATCACTGCAAAAAACATGTCGTCAAAAAGCTGAACCACAAAAATCGGAATACTAAACCCTCAGTTATACTAGACCTTAGGTTGACAATTCTAAATCGACGCATGTGCATTCGACAGCGCTACTGCAAAGCGGTATCACCACCATTACTGGCGGCAAGGGCTCAATATTATTGTATCAGTTAAAATAGTACGCCAATTAAACATTACATCTAAAAACTAGCATCATAAATCACCGCTAGATGCGACCGTTATTTTTGCACTAAGGATAATTTCATCGTTAATTAATTCACAGCTTTCTGATTTCCACTTAGCATTGTCTGCTTTTTGCTTAGAATCCTCGCACAGCGTTCTTCTCGAATAATTGGAAACGGAATTCCACCGTCGCGTTCAACCATGCCAATTCTGACAAGAGCCTGCTTTCACATGAGAAGACGCCAAGGGATAAAGCAAGTAATCTTATTTTGTTACGCTTCCCGGGTCACTGCCGTGCCATTAACAGTCTAATTTTACAAAAACTCCAAATTCTTTGCAGTAATAATTTGCAATACCTAATTATGAACGCGTCATTCGAACTGAGTGACCAAACTTTAAATTCCAAAGGTACATATGTGTTGTGCCATAAATAGCAAATAGAAAATGCGAGGGTGTAAATCTGTCTTATGTGTAACATCTTATTTTTTGTTACTGGTTATTAACCAGAGTGACGTCGCTACTGTTATTTTAGATAATGTCAACTTTTTATATCATGTGTCATACTCTTGCGTTTGCGTACGATAGGTAGAAAAAATGACATGGTTTGCTGTCTGTGGGCACGTGGAGACGTTGTTTTTCTTAACGTACTTGCTATACCCACTAGGACTTTAGTATGGTACAACAAAAACCAACTGAGGCATTTCGATATGTAAATATTACTTTATCATAAATATATATAAAAATATTTTATTTTCCAATCAAACTGACGAAATATTACCAGCAATATATAAAGCTGGTTCTACAACTTATCCGAAATTTTGTGTGTTTACCGAACGAACTGAACATGGAGTCATCATACTCAGGTTTCGATGCAGATGTAGGCGTTCCAGGGACGTGCCTGATCCGCACCAAGTACTTGTTAAATATGAGGTCTGGATATATTTTTTAGCCATGGAACGAAAGGGATTTCTCCCTTGATGTCCATCTGCTTAATGGCGCATCCACAGCCGACACAGCGTTTTGATAGTCTTTTGTGAAGTGACTGAAATCCAAATTTAGGGAGCATGCGACCCGTGGATTGCTTATAAATGAGTATTTTCCATGACCACTAGTCACTTGCCCAACCGTACAAAAATTTTTAAATTTTTTCAGATGTTCTGTACTCCATGTCTCCACATTGCTCATTATCCTTGAACTCACTAAGTCTTTGTTTAGAATACGTTTCAGTAAATCTCAGCGCAAAATGGCCAATGCACGCCTTAGCTCTGTCGAAATAAATAAGTTTTATATGGCATTTATGTACTAATTGCTCACAAATTAGTACATTCAATAGGTTCAGATCATGACGCAAGAAGCCATTTTAATGAATATACCTATATATAATGAATTGCTTCATGATAATCATAATGACTTCGCAGCCTGATAGAAAACCTTCGTTGTGGACTACGCGCAGAGGTTACTCGCACGTAGCGTTGAGGTTTATAAGAAAAACGTAGACATCAGGTTTCGCCATGAGGGCACGATGCGTTTTTTTTTAGTTATACAGGAATAGCTGACCAGACCAGCACAAGCGTTATCGATGTACCTCCGTTCGCATGTGCTATCAAATTTGCTTTGGCATGTAATTTTTATCGCCATGTATGTCGAAGACGAAATGTGACGCGCTTTCTAGGCACTATCATAGCTGGCGTCGCCCAGAAACTCTGGACAATCAAGTGTTTGATAATGGGTATGTAATTGATCTAGCAGAAACTCGCGCCTCTGTAGGCTAGAGCCACGTCGTTGGCAGGCTTTTCTGCCAATCCTGAATCTCCATGCACAAGGCCCTCTCAAGCCAATGAAAAACTCCAGCAATCGAGCACATCAGTGACTAGACTTGTGTGATGAATGGAAATAATGATCCGGTTTTGACACGGTAGCGTCGAAAAAAGTATAGGTTGGAAATACTACATTCGAAATCTGTCAAGCATTTTACCTGCGTTGAAGAGAAGTAAAAGTATAACGCTTTGCAATATTTGAATAGTGTGAAATTATCACTAACTAATTAGATTAAATAAAGCTTGCGTTTAGACCCAGAGTGTCAAGGAAGTTCGCTTTGATTTGGGTGTGATTATTTATGGCATTTCTTTCAAGCACGGATTTCTTAATGTTCAAATGTAGGTGGTGCAATCACAGGCCTACCCTTTCACCACTGACCAAGTTTTTGTTGATAGTTTGTTTATCTTTACATAATTAATGAAGAGTTACTAAGTGGACATCTTTATTTTTTCATTGTAAGCGAACAATTTTATTGTTAAGACAATATCAGTATAGGGCACATTTTTTGCTATATAATTGACCCTCGTTATTATCGCCGGTGTTAAATCATTCAGATTTATCGGTGTGTTCACTATAACAGGATCTTAAATAAACTCTCGATTGCATTTGTTTTTTAAACTGTTCTCGCTGTGGGCAGCGTTCTATGTGGCTTGTGCATATTAGAACTTTCAATATTTTTAAAAACTGAAACTTTACGAATACGAGTAACCTTGACCCACTCCATATAATATCTAGCAGCTGCTGAAAACATTGATACGATCTTCACCTAGGTTGCCTTCTGTTTCCCAATTTTTCTCACACTCAAGTGTAAATGTTTGCTGTTTGACGCCCCAAAAGAGTTAAATAGAGATGCATTAATTCAACAATACAGCCGGTTAATAGTTGTATACAACGCTAAATTGACTTTCCTTTTAATCCAGTCTAAGCATATCTAGCCTTATGTAATGTCTAACGGCTTAAACACTGAACATTAAGTACAAAAGATCATGTTTATCAAATTCGATCGATATCTGAATATGTCGACTCCGGCAACGCACTTCACGTTTCATACTTGCATACATAACGAATGAAATGTATTCGCGAACGAAAAAAAATAGCTTCGAAGTAAATTAGGGCAGCATTTAACTTAAATTGCCTATCTAGAGCTAAATGCGTAATATAGCTACAACCCAAGGAATCTTGTAGACTATAACGTGGACCGTTTATAACATTATTCCTCTCTATTATACCGAGTTGGTAAATGACTGAGTCGCAAACTTGTACTTCGATTGTTTTGGGAAATTCATTATATGCAAGAACAATCTGACATGCTATAAACTGTGGATTCGGTCGTCCCAGCCTTTTTGTGTAAACCTCCAGCAACGACTGACAACTCGCCAGCCCCTGGGAATGTTATACGCAGCAACTACTTACTGACCATATGATACGAAATTCTACAGTTCAAACCTATACAGGACTGATATCAAACATTCGTAACTCCACGGAAGTCTTACAAATAACAATTTAATGAACAAAATACAAATCTGTTGATAAAAAGCGTTTCGGCAAATTAGACACGTTATAGGTATGGATGGTGGGGGGGGGGGGGATCTGAACCACTTCCTTGCCCAGTCTAGGGTTTCTCTATGGCTTACACTGTGCAAACCTAACTGCAATGAGATATTACTAGAGGAAGTGCTTACCGGTTACTTCTAGATATACTCGAGAATTTCAATTTAAAAAAGCGCGATATTATCCACAAGATATGTGTAAAAGAGTGCATACAGCTTTATATGGTCCACTAAAAAGTATATTAGAAGGGTCGTAATATTTTTCGTTTAGCTTTACTTTTTATATTAACAGCTTTATTAGCGGTATTATAATAACAGTATTAATTCATTACTACGCATATCACTTCTGTGAGTTAGCTTGTTAGTGAAAGTTTTTAATTTTAATTTGTAAGAATAAATAATTAATGTTTAATTTGTTTCCGGTATTTTGTTCGTTCATAAAGTCCTACCTAGATCCTGTCCGTTGTAGTCAACGGATAAGAAACTCATCAAGCTGGAGTATAGTTAATTCTAAAAGCTATGAATGAAATAAAAGCCATAGGCAACCGACCGCTAGAGACAATGAGAGAAGCTAATCCAGTCTGTATGCGTTTATGTACTGTGGAAGCTGCTGACGCTACGTTCACTGCTTTTCATGTTAATTCCTCTAAGGTTTGATCATTATATAAGGCCTCCCCGTTTCCTAAAACTGAGAATATCTATCAAACGTTCGTAGATAGATTTCTTTGTTGTTATCCTTTATGACCTTCCCTTTGACTACCTCAATAGCGCATCTTCGAAATCTACGTTTGCGCGCCGGAACATGGGCTATCTAGATAAAATCTACGTCGGATATATAATCCATTTGGCCGCTAAATTAGCAATCCATATGTTTTGCGAGCAAAAAATCAGTGACAATAGGAAACCAGAAGGATACATAATCAGAAGAAGGCGACCACTGAGAACGATGAAAGTTTATGATACTGAATTTTCGGTTTCTATTGACTAAATAATGACATTGTAAAATCCACAAAGTTTTCGAGCTAATTGGATTTATGCAGTTAGCAGATTTGCCGCCTGACGAGTAATTAATGAAATATTGCTACCCTCTATATTAGCATTCAAGTGATTTGTTAATTCCATTGGTTAGTGAGTTTTAGAAAAGCAAGTTGAAACTCCAACAATAGCAATACATGCTTAAACAACAGAACGTAATTTCCGGAGCACTTTTTCGTGCCAAGGTTAAAATGCAGGTGCAGTATAGTTCATATATGTAGGCTACTAATAATTGCTAAACGTCAAATGGTCAGATAGTCTGGGCATCGGTGAGAAAAAGTATCACTTCGCCTTTTTTTTAAAAAAAAAAGGCGAAGTGATACTTTTTCAAAAACTACCACGCTATTTTAATAAAACGCAGGTCAAAAATTAGCGTAAAACTTTACTAGTTATCTGGATACGTCCTTGTCTACTAATGTTAAAGGAAAATAATGGTTTGTGAGGTTTTAATAATAATTATTATAATTATTCGTAGTATTTTAGGCATGTTCACCATATTTCACATTTCTTGCATATCCATTGTACAAACGCAGAACAATCATAGGCCTCTGTTATATAAACTTTTGCCCTTGTACACTTTACATTACTACTCATACCAATTGTATTTAACCTCGACCACCCAATCGTACCACATCACAATATATTCGATAGACACAGATTATCATTTACTCTTATTACTATTGTCAGCGAACTACATTTACATATATTCTTTACTACTGCACTCGCAACTCGACATTGATAAACCCAGTCGTACAAGCAACGCTCTTCACATGGTCATAGCAGTAGTTCAAACCAAAGTTGCAATTATAATCATGAACGAAGTACTGAGAACCTATTTATCTACAGGGAGGATTGCTGCTGATGTTGTTGTTCGATAATTTTTCCGAAGGTAGCAGCTTGCATAACAGTGAAGAAACAATTTGAATTAACAAATAAGATTAGTTGATCTAAACACATTTCAAACAAAAAAAAAACAGATAATTTGAGAAATCCAACATGTCTTAGCCGCTGTACTCGATGGCGTCACGTGTTCACAAGAAAACTCTAAAGAAACTCATACACACTCACATTGTTATGCAGTATTTGTCTCACAACAAAATCTCATTTGATTGCTGTAGTCTATTAATGCGCCTGTCACAGAGTTGAATGTACACAAAGATTGAAAGCTGAAAACTCCTCTTTACCTCCAAGTATGTAACACATCAAGATTAGTACGAAACATGCTATGCCGCCGTCGGTCACGATCTCCAACAATGACAGCCCGACCTCGTGCTTCATGTTTGTTCCCTAGTGTCCTGCCGGAAAAACACTTCCTATGCTATTTACCATCTGTACACAAGCAGATCAAAATAACCGTGTTTACTTGCAAAACACTCCTATCGGCTCTATCTATATTTCTTTCATTCTTCGTGACAGAACACGTTCTATATTGTTTTTTAGCTAATTCTTTTTATCCATACATAATTATAATAGTTAGCATCGTATAGCTAAACGGCCTGTACAGTAAACACATGCGTCGCCCGGCGACAGCCTTCGGTCCAGATTGGGTAATAATCATAGTGAACACTTTTCAGTTGTCTCTTTGTTGATACCTAGTTCAAATATTACTTGTGAATCGCTTATCGTTTTGTTTGCCCAGTCAAAACGATTCAGTCTCACGTAATTCCTTTTTACACTGGTTAAAACACTAGCCCTTGATTTTGCACTACTGACTTCTAACTCCTTCAAAAGATGGTTTGTCCTAAAAATCTAAGCGCAGAGATTAGGAAAGTTACTGGAACCATCAATGTTTGGTTGGCAAAGGTGACCACCCATTTATCGATTAAATACTAATAGGATATTTAGTTCTCTGCTTTCTCCCTTTCCGTGCATTGACGTTTGAAATTAGTGTTTCCGCTATGTACTGCACAATGGCATCCCGATGTTAAGGCAGTTCTTCCATACAATGCCAGCGTCGCTCTTTCAACTCTAGTAACGTTTAGAATTGCTGGTATTGAGTTATCATGTCGTTATTGTTTGTTAGTTCAGTCTACTGTCATTTGTGAGTTTTCAAGTACGTAAGGCATGATAAGGTATCAAGTAATCACAATGGTTTGGCCAAAGCTACATATTAGAGTTCAGCCGACTGCTTTCCATAGCGGATACGACAAGCCTTGTGGTCGTTCTTCGGTAGATCTGTTTTATGAGAGCTTTTCATTTGCCTGTGGTATAATATCGTACAGAGCGCGCTTTGGTTTAACCTTACTTGAATTAGGTGAGCACGAGGCGAAAATGTGGGAATACTGAATCTACTGCTATCGTATCTGCGAAACACCTAATGCCATCATTTCGTGCCTCAATAGGGACCCTGTCCGGGATACGGCGCCCTTTGGGGTGGCATTCCTCCCTGCATAGGCGGCTGCCCACCTCGCTGTTGCTGCGGGTTCATGAATTGGTTAGGATTTTGGCCCCGAGCCATTTGTGGACCTTGCTGCTGGAACCCACCTCCCATCATTCCACCTGAAAAAGGAATATGATTATAAAAGCACAATCAAAAATAGACACTGATAAACTTATCTAGTCAGAGACGACTAAATTGATTTCTATGTCAGTAATCAAAATGCCGTATGCTATCTAGTCTTTGGTGAAGAAGCTGATATAGCTTGACACAGGCAATATAAGCATCTAGAAGGCCTCGTAATCCACATATAATTATTCGCTTAAACGATGTTAAAGGTAAGAGTTTAGGAAATGTGACAAAAAGCCTTTAGGACTTTCATCTATAGTTTAAGATGGATTCCCCTATGATTAATGTGTCTTTATAGGTGCCTAAATGCATGGGATCATCCTACACTCGAAGGAAAAATCCCGGCTAGTATATTTATATGAGCACCATCTGCTTTTACAGAAGAAATATTAGCCAGCCGAGTCACGAAACAGCTATTGGAAACATCAATTTCCATTGCGAAAAACTAGATATTGTGAGCGCCAGTTCCAATATTTAAATGGCGGACTGAAGTTACATTAAACCTATATATAATCTTCCTAATTTAATAGGCCACATAACACGATCAGCCTTACCGATTCGTATTCCAGTAAGCTATTACGATATCCTGGTAAGTATGTGGTATTAACCAAAACTTCAATTTCTTCTCGCTTCTTACTCACCTTGCCCACCCATGCTCTGTTGTTGCTGAGGGCCTATTCCACCAGGCTGACCGGAGTTCGATAGGGGGTATTGAGGCCGTTGTTGCATTCCGCCCGCTGTCTGTGGGTGTCCGCCGGCACCGGCGGCTACATAACCGCCGCCAACACCACCACCGTATCCGCCTCCTCCCTGACCAGCGAAACCGCCTGGTCCAGCCATCATGTTCGGAGGAGGCGCACCTCGAGGTCGTACACCTGCTTGCGCAAGTACGTCATATATCATAAATATTATTAAATATTTGAATAACTTTATTAACTGCACCTTATATGGGGAACGTTTTGAATTGACTAAACACACAAACAAGAAGCTAGCATTGGACGACACATCTGAGCGGATCAATTAAAGAGCTACCAGCGTCTGCTCTTATTGAAGATGTAAAAGGGCATGGAATCCAAAATGATGATACAAATATTAGTAATATATGGGTACTTGCTGGTAGTCTGAAATGTATGCAATAGTTAAATTCAAGCACCTTAAAAATGCAATAATACTTAGGAAGATTGTAAACCTTGACATAAACAAATTATGGAATGACTGAATAGAAGCGTTTATTAAAACCACTATACACTTGGTGTAATACAGGTATCCTGCTAAATCGGCCCATGAATAAACCCACTAAGATTATCCATTTCGTCTAACCTTAACTACTAAGTCTAAGAATTTAAAAACAGCAAATTGAATTATTTTTCTTAGTCATTAAAAGAACAAAATAAGCTCACAATGGGAAACCTTTTGTCGACACCTGTTATATGTTATATAGCACGAACAGTGTTTGGTGTATTTAGGCTAATAACAGCGAATAATTAAATAGAAAAAAAAACAGTGATAACATACGATATTCGGCACCAACTGAAAGAAAACAAAAAAAATAATAATGTCATTCTTAGTTAGGCTTTAACTTTGTATTTTTGTAAATCAACACGCTGTAGTCCTCAGACTATATACATTGTTTACTTTGGCTTTCATAACGCATCCGGTTCTGGAGTTTCAGTAATTTTAAAAACTGAAAAAAAAATTCCTTAAGGAAAGTTACCTACGACGCCCCATAAGACGACACTACTAGCGATATTAGTTTTTGCTTATAGAATAATCAGCTCCCTTATAATCTCACATAAATGTTAGTGCCTGGTGTACAAACATTTTTTTAGGAGGAGTAAAAACAAACCTTGATCTGCAAATTGTCCCGGACCTGGACCCTGCTGCTGACCGAATTGGCCTGGAGGTCCCTGTCCGAACTGGTTGGGGTTCTGCAGCCTTTGTGGAGCCATGTTGCGCTGTTGAGGTGTCATAAGTGGCATACGCGGCGTACTCATCATGTCTATGACGAAAACAGTCGCAACGACAATAAACAAGATGTGTCAGTAATTCATAATTTTTTTTTATATAATAAATCTTATAAGCAAAGCAGACAAACGCGAAATTCACCTAAAGGTTGCCTCGTGGAAAGAGAAATCAAGAGTACTTGACTAATAACAAAGATGTATATATCTGGGGTGCAAATATCTTTACAAGCAGACACATTCATAAACACATATAATAGGTAATAATCATTGCTCTACATACCCCATTCTGAAACAAAAAAAAACAACAGTAATCTCATGTATGGTTTTAAATCACATGTAGGTTTTAAAATAAAGCATTTATGCGGCCATGCGTAGGTAGCCCGTGAGCATTCGAACTTACCTGGTGGTCCTGGTTGGGGTTGCATATTGCCTCCGTACTGCTGGCCTGGGTTAGGCTGTCCGGGATAGCCTGTGGGACCACCCGATTGAGGTTGCCGCTGACGCAGCATCGACGACAATGCCGCTTTGGCCGGCTGTCGCTCAAAGCGCTGCGGGCCTATTTGGGCACCAGGTCCCTGTGGACCCATCTGTCCGCCACCAGACGGCTGATAGTAACCTGTTGGACCTGGTTGGGGTTGACCAGGCTGTTGTTGCGGTGGTGGCTGTGGCTGCTGTTGAGGTCCTTGTCCATAGCCCCAGTTTCCTTGTTGTTGCTGAGGTCCCTGTTGACCTGGTTGCCCTCCGCCAGCAGGACCACCGGGGCCTCCAGGGCCTCCGTAGATGTCGCCGTACGCCATTTGGCCTCTTGGCGCTTGAATTGAGGTAGGTGCTGGCTGGTTTTGTGGAACAGCCTGTTGTTGATTCGCTTTTGGTTTACGGGGTCGACGTGGCTGTCGCGGTTTACGAGCACCTCGGGTGGGGCTGCTCCCGCCGGCCAGGCCCATATGACCTGCAGGTCCACCCATCATTGTCTGATGTGGTCCCATCATACTGGGTGGTATGCCTTGCTGGGGCATGCTCTGCATTTGCCCACCTGGGCCTCCTGGACCCATCGAACCACCAGGTGGCATCTGTCCCATGTTCATCGGTCCACCGGGGCCACCCATACCCATTGTGCCCATGGGTCCACCGGGAGTCATTTGACCCATTGTACTACCTGTAAAGACGGTTGGATAAAGAGAGACAGTAGTAACATTAGTCGCGATCTAAAATATAAAACTAGTGATAATGACAAGGTGTAGCTAAAAACTAATAAAGAAAATGTGCAAAAGAACAGAAATACTTCTTTAACAAAAACTAAGGTAAGACGCTTAGAAGATCTAACAATAGTCGCATGCAAACCGTTTTACAGGTCTAACTCTCAGGAAAGCAAAATGTACAGCTTTTTTTCTTAACCAGAAGAGAAACATGACTCTGATGGATGCGACCCCTATACTTGTGTGTTTGAATAAACTTTATACATCTTTACTTTATGCGGCTAACCAAAATATAGCAGTTAGCGGAAATAATTTGTTTTAATAAGGTTCAGTTTGCAAAAAATTACGATAATCATGTAGAATTCAAATGGGGAACAAAAAGTTGGCAACTTACGCGTACCTTGGGCTCCCATGTGACCCCCTGGCCCCATGGGTCCTTGCCCAATATGTCCTGGTCCCATATGTGGCGGCATTCCAGCTTGCGGTCCCGGACCCATTTGTCCTGGACCCATTTGGCCAATTTGTCCTGGCATCTGGCCGCCCATCGGGCCTGACTGAGGTCCTGGACCTGGCTGTACGGGTCCCATTGGATTCCCCTGTCCTAAAGGATGGCCCGGATGATGTCCTATTACCGGCTTAATATCCATCATGTGGCCACTGTGAGGAGGACCGTGTGGTCCACCAGGAGTCTGTCCCATCAGTCCTGGCGGGCCCATATTTCCTGGAGGACCACCTGGCATTGGACCACCCATCAGATGCTGCTGTGGACCGCCATAGCTTTGAGCTGCCATCATACCACTGGACTGCTGTTGTGACGCCTGCTGTTGACCAGGACCAATTGGAGCTCCGTGTGGATTAGCTGGAGTTGGTCCATTGCTATTGTTCCCAACCGAGACCTGTGGCATATTGTTGTTGTTCGTGTTGCTCGTATTGCTTATTGGCACAGGCGCCGTGCTTGCTACAGCGACAGGCGGTGTCGGCGTTGCAGATGGCGGTGGATCTAGGTCTTCTTGAGGCAACTGAGGTGGATCAAGGAAATAGTCGCTGCTTTTCACCAGAGCGCTGTGAGTATGCCAAAGAAGGCTTCGATATGTTTCTTCGAGGCGGGTTGGTTTTCGTTCGACACGAACTGCTCCGAACCACCTCCACATAAGTGGGGCAGGGTTTTTATACCCTTCGAGCAAATCCCACGGTGAAATGTTCTGCTTCTCTGCTACTTGTAAACCCTGCTTTTTATCAATGGAATCGAACCCTGCAATTTTGTTCCCTTTCGTGTCGATGAGTGAACTGTAGAAAGTAAAAAATAACATATTGGTATTTAATAGATTGTAGAAATTAACATATTTACATATCCTAAAGTATTTTCTATGACAGATCGGGCAATTAGCTGCAAAGCGAATAGCACGAAACACGAACACGATATAGCGACTTTGTGATGACCGTGCACTAAATATTCTGATTTCAATAAACCATAGCTTTAACATTTTCAGTGATTTCTAGGTAAGTTTAATGTTAAATTCTACAAAAAAGGGTCCAAAATGAAGTGAAAGTAATAACCCAACTGTTTACCCAGTCAAGCGTCATCAAATCTATACTGGTTACTTACCCCATGGGCTCACAGGTAATTACTGTGCATTGTCTTTTCGGGAAAGGCAGGAGTTGTAAAACAAGCTTGACATCGCTATTCTGCGAGGACTCGTTTATTTCCTTTTTCAGTTTTTTGATCAACGCGAAATACTGTCGTCGTGAATCTTCACTAAATGTACCCTCATATGAAGTGTGGATGAGCGTAGCCAGCATGTCGAGTACTGTATAGAAAAGTTCCTTGTGAGAATGTGAATCAACCAGGCCTGTTGTAATCAATTCCAAGAATATTAGAGCCCAGTCCATTGTATACGTTGTTGACCTTTGGATCATGTCAAACATTCCCCCCACCAGACTCAACCTGAGCAATAGCGCTTCGTGAAAGCTTTTTCTGGCTTTCAGGTCATCTAGTATTGTCTTGTCGTCACGCGTCGTGCTCAAACATTGGGTAAGCTGCGCGTTCAGTGACTTCAACAGCGATTCACGATGTTCATCTTGTCCTTTCAAACAAGACAGTATAAGTGAAAGAAATGGCTGATGATTCAAAAGAGCAGCGCCTTTGCACGCCTTAGTATCTTTCTTTGCAGCGTAAGCGGTCCAATTGCCGTTTTCAAGAGTATGACCCGCCTGGCGCAGAATTTTTCCCTGAACGCCAGGCAGCTTTGAGACGAGTGGGGCGACAAACCAAACAAACTCCGTGTGATCCTGCTGCTGGGACGACCGTTTTGAGGGTGAGTGACCGTGGCCATGTTGCCCTTGATGCCCGCCTGGGGGTTTCCTATCTTCGTTACTATTCGAAGCGCCTCCGCTACTAGTGGATTGCTGTTGGCCTGATGCAGCCGCATCACACAATTGGAATACGTCGATCGATGCTCGAGCTACGTTGTCCAACCAGTGCGGAACCTCTGCCGATTGTTGACACTGCATGTGCATCACTTGGAGCTATAGAAAATTTATCACCAGAAACGTAATAAATAAAAAATAAAACAACTATGTAAGCTTTTTTTTCTAGAAAACCTTATTTATTGTAAATATAAAGTAAGTGTTCACTACTGACAAAAATAACTCGTTGGTCAGAAAAGTGTTAAGCAATATAGGTTTTCAAAAACCTTATGGTAAGCAGTTAGAAGTTAAATATTATTGCCGATAAAGATTACATTAACTGTCTGCCTTATTTAACTGATAGTTGTTGCATTTACCTGTAGCCAAGATACGCGCAAACTCCATTGATCGAGGTTGGACAATATTTTGACAAGCCGCTGTCGATGGTCAGGATTCGACTCAACTCGTCGTGTACCGCCGTCAGTGGAAAAACTGCTTTGGGGGTAGCATATCAAACCCAGCAGAGACTCTGCTTGTGAGGGGGTCAACATCGGATCTAGCAGAAGATCGTTTGTGCAGAGTAGGTCCGGATCTCGAAGACAACGCTCATGTACCCATTGCTGTGAGCATATCTGGGCCAGTGCAAACTTAGAATAGTCCTTGAGCGACGCCTGACTTGCCATCGACAGCGCGTCGGCGTCTTCGAGCAGCTGAGGGCTGGTATCATTAAGATTGGCATCACTCCCCGTTTCCCCAAGAAGCAAAATCGCTTTCAAAACCGCTAGAACGGGTTCAACGCGCATACTGTTGTGTGCAGCTAACAAAAGATGCCGATCGCACGCAGCTTTAATCAGAAAGCGCCCAACAGGTACAGTTCCACCAGTCGCTTCAACCGTCCTAAACAGTCGCAGAAGCATGTGACAACTCATTCGAGCACCGGGCTCTGCTTCGATATGGGTTGCTCCACTCACTGGCGATGCGCTCAAAAGTGAAGGAATTGCGACATGAACGACAAAGTCTTGAAGAGTGAAGCATCGCCTAGCCACAAGCATCGACGAAAGTACCGCTAAATGGTCGTGTGTGGCGACATCATTGATGTCTACCACCTGCAACACATCAACGAAGCCGCACCCGTGATTTGAAGAACAGCACAGCGCCTTTAATATGCCTAGCCATTCCCCAGGCAACTGTTGACAACCAGCGGTCATCTCGGCACACAGGAGCGCAACGTCGTTTAGGCGTTCGAGATCAGTACATGAGGAAACAGCTGCGATCGCACTGCATACAAACGAGTAACGGGCTGAGGGATTCTCGTTGAGCTGTTGCAACACAGCTGCGTGGGCTGCGGCCGCATTTGGTGCAGCATTTGGTTCTCCTGGCCGTGCGACTCGAGGATTGGCCAACAGTTCTTGGAACTGTGAAGTTTTCCACATGAAATGCACCTGTTGCGGAGTTTGGTTTACATAAAAGTTCTGCTTTACCTGTAAAAGAATCACAAACAAGCCAATAAATTGGTAAACACTAAGATTCGAAACGTAATATTGCGTATAATGATTGTGCTTTGCAGAGATGCTTATGTTTTTCCGTGCAGATCTGGTCTTCGCTATTTTATCAGACAAATGCACGAAACAGTATTCGAACTATAACTATTCACTGAACTTGAGTGGTAAGAAAACTACTAACAAACATCGTTCTTTTCCACAGCTTAATCATGGAAAAGGTTACATCACTCTCATGGCATTTGAGTAAATGTTTTGTTAACTAAAAAACGTATGTATATAGACAACGTAAATTAGTAAAGATAAATTCTACCATATGTCAAATACTCCGATCTTACCTTTGCACATAACGCTCCCAAAAACGAATCTGCGTACTTCTGTCTCAAAAAGTAGCAAGCTGTATAAAGGTCATATATGTAACATAGAATGCACCTGAAATTAGAAGATATAAATAGGACGACGGTGCTATTAATAAACTATATATACACGTTCAGCAACGAGTACCTCTCCTTTTAAGTAGGTCTATTTTAACAATGCGTCTAGGTATATGAGGTTGAATTACCTCTGTGCGCTGGAACATTTACTGGTATCCTCGAGGTTGGCGACTAATCGACATAGGGCGTCGCAAATGGCGAGCGTCTGCTCGTGTGACACCAACAGACAGCAATGGTAACGGTATAACAGACCTACAACATTTAGCGTCACCGTTGGTACATAGACCCCAGCCACTGGTGAGCCCTGTAGTACAAGAAAAAAGCGAACAAATCAGTTTTAGATATTGTCCACTTTAGCTTTTAGTGCTCTGATGGAGCACTTTGTCATTACCAGTCAGGTGATTATTTGTCATTAATTGCTTTTAGTTATTCAAGATAGAACCAAAGTAGCGAGTTTATTACACTGGATTAGCTAACCTGCAGTAAAAAATGATCTTACGTCACACTAATATTACCTTCTGGACGAGCATTGCCTCAACATCGGGTAGCTCCTTTAGTATATGCAGACATAATTCAAGAAGTCCATTGACATTCTGAGCCATTTCCATCAGACTCAACAGAAACGAGATATGCTCCGCCTAAAACAATTAAAATAGGGTAAATATTATTCTTTAATGAAGACCTTGCTAAATCTTAATCTTTGTTAGTCGTATCACGAGTTTTTGTACCTTCGCAACCAATCTCATAATTTGTTGTATTAGAAACAGAGAACTCATTAGCTCACCTGGTAGATTGAAACAAAAACACATAACAAAACGTAAAAAATTCCATAAAGCATCACAGTGGATACAAATAACGTACCAAGGGCAGGTAATTAGAGGAGCCGGTGGCAAATCCGTTTATCATCTCCAAAAGTTGTGCCCCTACCGACGCTGCTACTGTATGCTGATCATTGTACGGTAATGCTTGGAACCGTTGGCTAACTGCGTCCAGTGATACAGATTCCTTTGCACTCTTACGAACCTTACCACCCTCTGATACGTCCATGCACGCTTTCTTGGCGAACAGTTTGCCGGCATCTTTGGCAACCTTTTTTACCACATGCCGGGCCTCATCACGTGTACGCCCAACACCATAGAGCAGTACGTGTCTCTGATTGCATTCATGTGAAGCTCCTCCACCGCCCGTACCGTCTAAATCAGCTGCAGGTAGCGGGAAGTGCTTCGTGTACTGGAGATGACGCTGCTGTTTTGAGCTTATGTGCGGAGTACCCTCCTTACCGTCTTCACGGTCGGAGCCGACTGAATCGGAGAATAGTTCCGGTTGTTGATCGCTTTGCTGTTCCTCCTTAATTCGTTCGAGAAGTTTACCGAGATCGGCATCGAGCCTTGTATCGTCGTAGTCCATTTGAGGATCACTGCCACCCCATCCATGGGCTTCCTGTTTGACCGCAGGTGGCACCTGTCCACCGGGTGAAAATAATGGCAATTGGGTACTGTTCGGACCACTTTGAACGCCCCCAATACCCGGCGACGGGCCATGCGAAGGATCAAGAAAGCCAAGGGACGAAGGCCCTGGCGGCGTGTTAACTGACCGAGAGGAGCTCGCACCTGGTGGCGGTGGAACCGATGCGATAGCAGCCACGGGCAAAGACGCTACTGGAGGATTGGCGAAATAACCCCTTGAAATTAGCGTGCACATGTACAAGTCATGAGAGAAAACTTCCCACCGAATCAGTTCGCAGAAAAGTAACACGAGATTGGCAAACGCCAGTCGCGATTCAGCTACTTTCTCGTCAAGTATTGGTGCTTGCGTATCAAGAAACCGCACGAGAAGATCTTGAAAAATCGGTGGTTGAACAACAAACGAATCGTCGTCGTCTTCCTTGCCCACTTGCGGCCCCTGTATCTCGGCCTGTTTACGCTCTAATAGCTTAGCGACGATCAGGGCTCGGTGCTCGCCCCGTCGTTTAGTGGTTACTGCCCATTCACACACAAGCTTTACAAATGGCTCTAGCTCCTGAACGGCTAAAGACTTCCCATCGCCTTCACTACTTGACGCTGTCGTCGTCGGCCAATCGGTAAAAATCTTACTATAAAGCGTTTCGAAGGAATTATTTGTATCTATTTTATCGAATGAATGTCGATCTAACGCATCAAGTGTGGCGAGTACTTTGGTCATCACAGCGCCAGTCGCCGTACTCTGACTTTGCCATTTCTCACACGACCAACGCATTTCACAAGCACGACTCCGCTGGATGATATGCTCCTCCGCTTCGCGAAGTTCTCGCCGCGCTTCTAAATCTTCAGGGATAATTGGCAGTTGTGACGGTGAACATGGCAGTATGTCCAGAGGGCTCCCATTAAGCATACGCTTCGAAGAAACTTCGTCTTTGGATAACCCCTCAGGGATTGTCTGGTTGAAAACCATGGCAGTTGGGCAATCCAACGTGATGATTTCCACAATCGAACACATTGTCAAAAATGGCGTCCGATGATAGGGACATGACAAAATTTCGACGAAAGCCTGCGCCAGTGGGCTGAGCTCTTCTACTGTAAGGGACCCTTCCCGCTTGGCGGCAGCGACAGCTCCGCCTTCCTTCAGTGTGAAGTCCGCTACCAAATGGGCGATCTTTTTCGAACACTGATAAGCTAGTCGCCTTGATAAGATTTCATTCTTGACAAAGTCAGTTGTATATTGAAGAACCAGTAATAGCGTTATTCGTAATGTGGGGTCATCTGGTCCTTTTGTTCGTTCAATAAGTTCTAACAGCCATGATAAGAAGTCCTGTTGATCTAATAGACCTTCCTGGTAACAATGACTTGCCAGCTGACAAAGGTACTGCCAATGCTTGGCCAATGTCTGACTGTGCATATCAACCTGTGAAGCAGGGGGCGGTGACTGCTGTGGTGGTGTCGTAGATTGGTTTGACACACCTGGAGGTGGGGGCGAAGGTTGTTCCACCATGCGAATGAGGATATCCTTCATAAATTTGCACAGTGAATGGGTCCAGTCTTGTGATGGATCTGGCAGTTGTCGCTTCTTCATTTTGGCCTCAGAGATGGCCGCTGTATAGACGCTGGCCATCTTGAGGAACCAGGCGGCGCGCACCATGGGTACTTGAAAGTCGAATAATATAGTAAAGATTTCCTCCTTCTTATTGAAAATTGGCACTTTTTTCGCCAAGGAGATAAGAGGCTTAGAACCTGCCAGATCTTTAAACCAGTTCTGAAAAACAAACAAAAAAAAAGCTTAACAAGAATTGTGGATAAATAGTTACTATAAAGAAAGATAGTAAGACGATTGTACGCATTATCTCACCATAAACCTTGTTATGTTGATGCATATCGTGTGCATATTCCCATTGGTTGTTACTATGAATCAAATGTAATTTCAATATGTATCTTTATGCTTTTCATAGAAAAACTTAAATTGTTACTATATTTTCAGTAGGATTAACTATTCTTGCTGAATACTTAATTGTTTGAATTTCATTTTGGGATAAAGCTCTGAGACATTTACCTCAAAAACATTTTTACTTTTGGCAGTAACTGGCCAAAAGCACTCTTTAACATTAATTTGCTGCTTTTTCCGGCCCGTATCTTGAAGTGTGTTGAGTTCCTGTTTCTTAATTAATACACCAGAAAAAAAAGTGCTGAACTTGGCCGTTGTGATATTCGCGTGACGCGCCGTGCCGCATTCGTCCTGGATAGGATTGGCTGCATAGCCCTGCTTCACGTTTGTTGCCGTTATTTCATCCTACAAAAAAATCACCACAAAATGAAGCATAACTTTTTAATAATGACCAGGATAATACAAGCCACCCAATTTAGTCTTTTCGCTATAAAATTTTATTTAGTTCAATCACCACGTAGGTGTTATGTTCTAAAACTAAACAATTATTCCAGACGCTTTGACCTATACTTCATTTATGTCTTTGATTCATACAATATAACGTTAAATATAACACCAATACTCACCTGAGAGAATGGGCTATTTTTTTAATCTTATATGTTACTTTATTCTATATTGTTGAGCTAGAGTGTCTGAAGGCTGCTCACAATAATGTCTGTAAATTAGTCGTCATAGATAAAAATGTATTTACCATTTTTCAAAGTATACACCATTTTTCTAACACTGCTCCTAGTCATTTCAACAAAAGTTAAAAAGGCTTATGCGATACTCCTGCTGATTAATCGCCGCCAGGACCCAAATAATTTTCATTTTACTTTTCTAACTAACTAAACAATCTGGCGCATTTTTTGTCCATTACCCCAGAGAATGTTGTACACACACCTGAGAACGTCTAGCCACTGAATGCGTCTAAGAAACGCACAACTGACATGCAATTAACGGCATACAGGGTCTACCTCGGTTCAGCGGGGTGCGGGAGTGAATTGCTCGCTTGTTCTCTTTCATTCTCTAGCTACAATAAACCCCACACGAGAATTATTTCAGCAGTGCTATTTCCTCTGCATGGTTAACCTCGGCCGATCGTTTCTTCGATTGAACCACAGACTTTTAACAGAGATCACATTTAGTTTGCGTTAAAGTTTGCGGGGCATTGAAATACCGGCGTCCGGACACAATCGAATTCGCATCAACAATAATAGTGGATAAGATATACACACAGACACAGACACACTGGTTGATGTCAACACACCCTTGGATACAGAGAGGATGATGTGACACCAAGCGTAATCTCCTGTAAATTTTAATCATCTGGTTTGCTATTGTAACACATTTGTGTGCAAAATGAAATCTCCAGAACTTGCATGCTCTATCTAGTATGCTATTCTTAGCTTTGTGCTAGTAATATAAAACAATAGGCTGTCAGTGGATACAGTTGATCGGAGGAGAGCCCCTATCGGGGAGAGTAAAAGCAAACAAAGTCAGGACCACTTCGGCTAGTATGCTTGTAGACGATGAAGTTGGCTGATTTTGGTCTCGCTGGCTAGCTGATAACAGGACATACCTCTTTTTGCTTAGGGTCCTGTGGGTAGACGTCAGGAGGCCCAAGACGGGGCTTTTTCAGGGCCCTCTTCTCGTACAACCAAGGAGCCACCGCCGCCATCTTTGTTGTGATCCAGGACCGCTACTCCTGTCAGATCACATAGGGGAAATTCGGCTAAATGAGAAACACCCCAGTGACCAATGAAAGAGCTAAATTTCGGCAACCTGTGATCGCATATAAGAGAGTAGAAGACTAACAATAGAAATACATGCAAAATTATTATAAAATTATATCGAAATTATCGGATTCTGAAAACGGCGGGAATTTTGAACGAGGCGAACCGGGCGGGCAAAGCATAAGTGTCTGTGTTTTCGTTTGTTTTAAAAAAAAATTCATTCCTAGTAAAATAGATGGAAAGTTGCAACAGTTTTCGATAAAATAACATAAAAGCAAATCATATTAATGGAATAAATGAGTGTACTAGAGGTTCGCACACCTATAAAAATCATCCTTGGAGCAATCCTTGGTGTTTAACGCCACTAACATATAATTGTTTAGTTTTTTTTGGCTCTAATAGAAAAATGTAACTATCATTAATTGAAATCATAACCTGCCGTAGTATAACGCAAAATTTATGAATGAACATAGGTGTTGTGTATGTTGAATCAAACCAGAGTGCTGTTCTGGCGTGCGTTAAGCTTGCTGTTCTAGACAAAACGATCAGGCGGGGTAAAAAAATTAATAAACATATAGTGTAGGTAACAAACATAACGTGATAACCTAAAATGATCATTCCTGCATTTACATTTGGGTGATACAAACAGGATCTGCTGTGAGAGCCTGTCTAATTGGGGCAATGTTTTGGTTTATAATCCAAACGAAACCGAATCGACAAGCAATAAAATGGCGCATACCAGGAAACACTCGCTCTGAGTCAATACAGCTTTCTATGCTAGTGCTAACCGGTTAGCTTACGCAGATGACGCGCCCTTGAGAGGCATTTTGCGGTACACACATTGAATATGAAAAGAATGCGTATCTAAAAGTATGATGAAATTTTAACAAGATGTCCCCACAAGCATAACCAGAAACTTCGTTTGCCAGTGGCACCCGTATTAAACGACTGGTTAAGGTTTCGATGGATTTGACATAGATCGGTTCTCGGTTTCTTGCCTAAAATAAATGTATACTTGAGCTGGAAATAACAAGTATCTATATGACCTTAGAGTTCTTTTTTGTCTTTCGCCTTTCTCATTCACTGCAAGTTCATAAAAAAATAAAGGGTTCAGTTAGCTGGTATTCTGATATCTTTCGTAGGAGTAATATAATAGTTTACTACTGTAATTGTATGCTATACCTACATGTACGCTTAGAGATTTCTGTTCTCTTTGGTATAGT